TACTGTATATGTTATGTTCTTTTTTTTTTGTATGCAGCCTGTGGACTGAATGAAAAAAAAGAGAAGAAATCTCTGCCAGAAAAAGTGTGTGGTATGCCCACTATTAGAATATGCCGCCCTGCATCCACCCACTTGTAATGGTGGGCACACAATGCCACATGCGCCAGTTCCAAGATTGTACAAATGTCTAAAAATTGTCCACGTATTAAGTGGTACCCCATATGGAAAACGGATGACACCAAGTCCCAAACTATCTTGCCACTACTCCCCATGTAGTCTGGGCATCTGGGGGGCTCCATGTGACTATCTTTTCCCTCATAAATCCAAAACTTATAAGTATAGCCTGTTGCCCTCTCACAGGTCTTCTACATCTTGACCCCATATCTGGCTTGCTTGCTGGGGAAAACTTGTTTGAATGCAAGGCGGCCAGAAAAATTAATGAGGGACTCATCAACGCAGATGTTTTGCTGGGGAGTATAGACATCTGCAAATTTTTGGTTAAGGTGATTTGCAAAGGGCTGAATTTTGCTAGACTCATCCACCTCACCAACCGCTCCACATCTGCCTCCCCCCTCTGCCAATCCCTTCATTGGCTCCCGATTGCCCAACGCATCAAATTCAAACTGCTAACTCTGACCTACAAAGCCATTCACAACGCCGCCCCAAACTACATAACCGACCTGATACCCAAATTCTACCCTACCTGTGCCCTCCGCTCCTCACAGGACCTCCTGCTCTCTAGCTCCCTGGTCTCCTCCTCCCACGCCCGATTGCAGGGCTTCTCTAGGATTTCCCCCATCCTCTGGAACTCCCTACCCCAATCCATCAGACTGTCACCTACCCTCCTCACCTTCAGGCGCACCCTGAAAACCCTCCTCTTCAGGGAAGCCTACCCCAACCTCACCTAACACCCGACCTCATCTAACAACTAACCTCCTCCACTCCTCCCGCCACTCCATCCCCCACAGCCATCTCCTCCTGTGCCACCTTCCACTCCCTCCTAGATTGTAAGCTGGAAAGAGCAGGGCCCTCGAACCCCTCGTGTATTGTATTGTTACTGTCTTGTCTCATGTTCTGTCCCCCTTGCTACTGTACAGCGCTGAGCAAACCCTTTGGCGCAATATAAATACTGTATAATAATAATAATAATTTTGTGGAACCGGTCAAATTCAGGGTCACCCCGAGGATGACAGAGTGTATTGTCATTGAAATGCATAAAACATATTATACTCTCATATCTTTGCCTGGCCATGGCAGCAGAGAACACGGTATATGATGAATCGGGTCTGCGGACCAATACAACTCAACAATTCATTTCTTTTAGTAATGCCCATGTTGAGGGTTAGGTCCAAAAAAATGTAAATTCAGAAACTGTAATGGGTTTCCATGCGAATGGTCTGACAAGGTTTGAATCTAGGTTGGTGGCGATAAACTGTTGTGCATATAAATTGTTTTGATCCACAATCAATGCATACAGATATTCCGTGAAAAACAGCTCCAAAAATTAAGGGGGGGAGGAGTTAAATTTGCTATTTCCACCTGAATTCCGGGTTGGGCAGTGAATGGGGGGGGAAGTACAGGTGCTGAAGAATTTGTGGGCTGCCAATCGGGATTTGTAAGCACATCTGGAAGGATACTAGAGGCTCAATGGGCCTGTGTGCGAATTCTTGGTGGTTACGAGACAATACTTGTGCTCCCCACCGCAACAGCTTGTACTGCACTTATGGGGCTCGCCACGTCTCCAAGTCATACTGCAGTGCTGGTATTATTATTATTATTATACAGGATTTATGGCGTCAACAGTTTACTCAGCGCTGTACAATATAACGGGAGACAATACAGCAACAATGCAGTTCAATACAAGAGGGTTAGGAGGGCCCTGCTCCTTGGAGCTTACAATCTAGGAGATATGTGAAAGACCAGGAAGTACTAGGCCACTAGTACTCGCCAGTTCACCAAAAGATAGCGCGGCACTAGTACTGGCACTTTGCTGCATATGAGAGTCATCAAAATTCACTGACAAGTGCTAACAGAGATCAGGCCTGATTCTGCGAACATTGTGTGCAATGTATCAAGTGACAGTGACCTACTGACACTGCACTTGCTGGGGGGGGGAGAAGGGGGGGTAAATGTAGGGGCTAAACGCAGGTGTTGGCATGTGCCGAGGCTGATCCCGCTAACGCTGCGTTTTTGGGGACGCTATGCTAATGTGAACGCTGGTATAGTGCTGATCTGATCAAACATATTGACCCGTTCAGACACTATACTAGCAATGGAGGTTTATTGTACATGAGCGTGTTCCTGGCAGTCAAAGGGTTAAATGTGATGACTGATGTACTGACGTATAATCTGGCGCCACCTGGGAGGGGCATGAAAATCACGGGAGTGCGAATCACGTATATATATGTGATTTTGTGCACCTTTGCCGCCCTGCAGCAGTATTTCTGCTATAGGGCGGTCAGGAAGCGGTAACAGAAGCGGTTTGTGTTACGGCTCTGCGTTACTTTAACTGACAATTGCGCGGTCATGGAATGCTGCACCAAAATTAAATTTACATCCTTTTTTTCCCCACGAATTGAGCTTTCTATCGGTGGTATTTGATCGCCTCTGCGTTTTTTATTTTTTGCGCTATAAAAAAAAAGTCTGACAATTTTGAGAAAAAAAATATTTTGGACTTTTTGCTATAAAACATGTCTAGTAAAACAAATTAAAAAACAAATTTTGTTATAAATTTAGGCCAAAATGCATTCTGTTCCATGTCTTTGGTAAAAAAAAATCCCAATCCGTGTAAATTAATTGGTTTTTGTGAAAGTTATAGTGTTTACAAATGGCGGTATATATAATGGAATTTTAATTTTTTTTAATGCTAATAATGGCAGTGATCAGCGACTTATGGCGGGACTGACTTGAGGTCTCTGACATCCCCAGTGACACCAATACAGTGATCAGTGAAAAAAAAAAAAACTACTGACACTGTACTAATGGCACTGGGGAGGAAGGGGTTAACATTTTTAGGCAATCAAAGGGTTAACTGTGTGAGGGGAGTGTTTTACTGGGGGGGGGTGTTCTTCACTCTTGCACTGCTGGCTGTCCTGGAAAGCTAAGCTCTGCTCTCCTGAACAGTGAGCTGGGAACTGACAGGGAGCAGAACTGCATTGAAAACAATACAGCTGTGCTCTGTGTCACTGTTTGCCGGCAATCGCCGGGACCCTATGATTGACACCCGCGGCTACGATTGGTGGCGCGTGTAGGGCAGTCGTATGCCTCGTGCGCGCCCCTTATCCGATATGCAAAATCACGTATATATATATATATATATATGTGATTTTGCGCAGCGGTGCCGTCCTGTAGCAGTATATGTACTGTGGCTGGTCGGCAACCGGTTAATGGCGGTGTGTTGAGTTATTTTGAGGGGACAGCAAATTTACATGTTATACAAGCTGTACACTGACTACGTCACATTGTAGCAACGTGTCATTTCTTCAGTGTTGTCACATGAAAAGATAGAATCAAATATTTACACAAATGTGAGGGGCGGACTCATTTCTGGGATATATTGTGTGTATATCTATATATATATAGATATACATATCTATATATATATATATATATATTTATATATATCTGTATATATATCTGTATATATAGATATAGATAGCTATATATATATATATATAGCTATCTATCTGTATATAGCTATATATATCTATCTATATATATAGATATATATATATATATTTATATATAGATCTATATCTATATATAGATATAGATCTATATCTATATATATAGATATAGATCTATATATATATATCTATATATATAGATATAGATATATATCGTTTGGTGGTTCTAAGTAATTTTCTAGCAAAAACTACTTATTTAAACTTGGAAACAAAAAGTACTTAGTAAAGTGGGTAGGAAAGGGCAAACCACATACTTTGGGGGGCACTTTCAACTTTTGTTATACAATTTCTGTCACAGATGGGGGGGGGGGGGGAAATATTAAGCTTTGCACATGCTCAGTGCAGGAGGCGGATCCAATCTCTCCCGGAACCTTGTAGCTCTGTGTATGTTGCCGGGGGGACGCTGTTAGTGTTGCACAGATGCTGGTGAGCTGTAGAAAGCTGTCCGGGTTGTGTATAGTCGATCATTGGGGGAGGGGAGGTGAGTGGGGCTGTATTCGGGAACAGGTCGGGGTGTTATGGTGTTGAGGGGGGCTGTAGCAGGCGGAGGCATGCTGGGAGTGATAGTTCACCAGCCTTCTTCTGGTGTGCAGACTCCATGTGGCTCCGAGGTTGGAGGGGGAGGGGTTTTCAGCCTGAAAGAGGGCAGCCAGTCTGTGTTTTACTTTTATATATCTTCTAGTTAAAGTATAACTAAAGACGAAACGTATTAGTGGGGCTCCTTCAGGGCCGGTTCACCCCAGGACGTGCGTGATTTTGTGCGTTCCTGCGCATCATTGTGTGTTTTTTGTTTGGTTTTTGTTTTGATCAGCCTGTTTATTTCAATGGTCTGCCGAATGTGTGGGAACACGCAAAAATAAATCCAGTAGGTGATAACCGCAGTAGTGGCGCAAAAGTGTTTTTTAGATATGTCTGGGATGCCGTTAGCAGTTAATGGTACCCACACGCATCTAATGAGGGCGGCGCGTTCCTGTGCTGGGGGGGAATAGAGCACAAAAACGTGCTTTTCCTGCACCACTTTTTTTTTTTCTTTCTGAAAAAGTCTAAAAAGTTTGAAAAAAAGTTCTTTTTTCTTATAAAATTTTGCAAATCTTTCTTCATAAGTCTTGGCCAAAATTTATTCAGTTATCTTTTTTAGTAAAAAAAAATAACCCAAATTAGTTTATAACCAAAAATTATAATTTTTCAAAAATGTTTTTAAATTTTTTATTTTATTTATGTTTTTTTTTTTAACATACTGTCACCCTAGCAGTGCAGTGTCACCATGGTGACACTGTACTACTTGCGGGGGGGTGATGAAGATTTTTTTTTTTTTCTTTCTACACTGATTGCTTTTACACCCATAAAGGCTGTAAAAGCAATCATTTCTCTTTCTCTCTGTCTGCATTCTTGCAGCCATTGAGAAATACTGTGAGAGCTGTGATTGGTCATAGCTTGTCACATGGTACAAGGCTGTTGTGAATAGCCCTGTACCATGTGATCTCTGTGATCATTCACAGATTTCACACGTAGAAAGCAATGATGTCAGAAGTGACATCTTGCTTACTACTATTCATGTGATCACTGATTCGCCCCGTTGTTGGCGTCAGTGGGAGGAATGGTGCCCCGTTGTTGGCGTCAGGGGAGGAATGGTGCCCCGTTGTTGGTGACAGTGGGAGGAATGGTGCCCCGTTGTTGGTGTCAGTGGGAGGAATGGTGCCCCGTTGTTGGCGTCAGTGGGAGGAATGGTGCCCCGTTGTTGGCGTCAGTGGGAGGAATGGTGCCCCGTTGTTGGTGACAGTGGGAGGAATGGTGCCCCGTTGTTGGTGACAGTGGGAGGAATGGTGCCCCGTTGTTGGTGTCAGTGGAAGGAATGGTGCCCTGTTGTTGGTGTCAGTGGGAGGAATGGTGCCCCGTTGTTGGTGTCAGTGGGAGGAATGGTGCCCCGTTGTTGGTGTCAGTGGGAGGAATGGTGCCCTGTTGTTGGTGACAGTGGGAGGAATGGTGCCCATTGTTGTGGTTGCCCGTTGTCAGTGGGAGGAATGGTGCCCTGTTGTTGGTGACAGTGGGAGGAATGGTGCCGCATTGTGGGAGGAATGGTGCCCCGTTGTTGGTGTCAGTGGGAGGAATGGTGCCGCATTGTGGGAGGAATGGTGCCCCGTTGTTGGTGTCAGTGGAAGGAATGGTGCCCTGTTGTTGGTGACAGTGGGAGGAATGGTGCCGCATTGTGGGAGGAATGGTGCCCCGTTGTTGGTGTCAGTGGGAGGAATGGTGCCGCATTGTGGGAGGAATGGTGCCCCGTTGTTGGTGTCAGTGGGAGGAATGGTGCCCGTTGTTGGTGTCAGTGGGAGGAATGGTGCCGCATTGTGGGAGGAATGGTGCCCCGTTGTTGGTGACAGTGGGAGGAATGGTGCCCGTTGTTGGTGTCAGTGGGAGGAATGGTGCCGTTGTTGGTGTCAGTGGGAGGAATGGTGCCGCATTGTGGGAGGAATGGTGCCCCGTTGTTGGTGACAGTGGGAGGAATGGTGCCCGTTGTTGGTGTCAGTGGGAGGAATGGTGCCGCATTGTAGGAGGAATGGTGCCCGTTGTTGGTGTCAGTGGGAGGAATGGTGCCGCATTGTGGGAGGAATGGTGCCCGTTGTTGGTGTCAGTGGGAGGAATGGTGCCTGTTGTTGGTGTCAGTGGGAGGAATGGTGCCCCGTTGTTGGTGTCAGTGGGAGGAATGGTGCCGCATTGTGGGAGGAATGGTGCCCCGTTGTTAGTGTCAGTGGAGGAATGGTGCCGCCCCGTTGTTAGTGTCAGTGGGAGAAATGGTGCCCCGTTGTTAGTGTCAGTGGGGGAACAGTGTCCCATAGTTTGTGTAAGTAGATGAAATAGTCACATCTGCGCGTTTTCACCAGGTGCGTTTTCTGGAAAGGGTCAAGGACTTTTTTCAATGCAAAAAGTTGCGTTTTTGGTTCTATAGACTTCAATGGAAACGCTGCAGAAAAGCATGTAGTTTATTTTTGCATTTTAAATCTGACTAGCAACAAGGAAAAAAAACCCTGCAAAACGCAACGCAGAAACAGGTCAAACGCAAACTGTATGGGTGTGAACCTAGCCTTAGACCATAGAGAGGCATTCTGGTATCCAATCAGCTGCATGGTTAGCTGGCTGAACACTCGGGTCCCAGTGGGACAAAAGGGTCTGTGAGAGCCGCAGGAGGGGACATCACCTCCTGTGGCTTGGAAATGAAATCCAGTGGCTAATTAGCTGCTAGGATTGCTTTTACAGCAGGGGTGGGCAACTGTGGCCCTCCAGCTGTTGTAGAACTACAAGTCCCATGAGGCATTGCAAAACTGACAGTTACAAGCATGACTCCCAAAGGCAGAGGCATGATGGGACTTGTAGTTCAACAGCTGGAGGGCCACAGTTGCCCACCCCTGCTTTTACAGGAGAGCTGACCGTTGGCCGCAAAAAAACGATCCTGGAATGATGCCTGCAGCTTCATCCTGGTATAACCACTGGAAGTCCAGCAACATATTGGTACATCTCTGGTCCGCAAATGGTTAAAATCGGGCCGCAGCAAACCGCATGGTGCTGCAGTACCATGCATTTTGGCAGCTGTGAACACACACACATTTTCTAGACGCATGGGGTGTCATTGGACTGATGGTAAAGGGAATATTTTTTTTTTTCTCTTTAACCCCTGCCTACCGGGCACTTATACCCCCTTCCTGTCCAGGCCAATTTTCAGCTTTCAGCGCTGTCACACTTTGAATGACAATTGCACGGTCATGCAAGATTGTACCCATATGAAATATTTATAATTTTTTTTCTCACAATTAGAGCTTTCTTTTGATGGTATTAAATCACCGCTGGGAACTTTACTTTTTTTGCGCTATAAACAAAAAAATTGCAAAGTATTTGAAAAAAAAAAAGTTTCTTTGTTTCTATTATAAAATTTTTCAAACAGGTAATTTTTCTCCTTCACTGATGTGTGTTGATGAGGCAGCACTGATAGGCTACACTGGTGGGCACTGATAGGCAGCACTGAAGGGCACTGATAGGCAGCACTAATGAGGTAGCACTGATAGGCGGCACTGATGATGGGTACTGATAGCACTGATAGGTGGCACTGATGATGGGTACTGATAGACAGCACTGATAGGTGGCACTGACTGGCATCACTGCTGGTGGCACTGCTAGGCATTGACTGGTGCAACTGCTGGGCACTGCTGGCACACTGCTGGGTGGTGGCACTGACTGGCAGCACTGGTGGGCACAGGTGGGTGGCACTGGTGGGCACAGGTAGGTGGCACTTCTGGGTGGCACAGGTGGGTGCACTGCTGGGCACAGGTGGGCGGAACTGGTGGGTGGCACTGCTGGGCACTGATCATCAGGGCACTGATGATCGGTGCCGATCCCTGCTCTGACAACTGCTGGTTCTCGGCAGTACTTTCCTCACGCTCTGACAGCGCAAGGAAAGTGCAAGCCGAGAACCGCAATTGCATTTCCTGGTGATCAGCGTGTCATTGGACACGGCTGATCATGTGGTAAAAGGCCGCTATGATTGGCCTTTTACCACATCATGTGATCAGTTGTGTCCGTAGGACACAGCGGTCATGGAGATCGCCGGGTGCATGCCCCCGGGGGGAACGCAAGAGAGCGTGTTCTGGGAGGACGTCATATGACGCCCTCCCAGAACTGGCCGGCCACAGTGTAGCCGTCATTCGGCTATCTGCGGTTGGCAAGTAGTTAAATACCAAACTTGTCTCCTTGCCTTCCAGGATCTTTCTGAATCCGCCCTCACGGGACTACACTGTGTGTGCACAGAGCTGGTACAGACAAAGAGAGCCTCATCTGTGAACTGCAGTGCTGCTCCACCTTCCAGCTTTCAGATGGACATCCGGTTTCACTGTAATCGATGTGTGATGTAAAACCGCGCATGCCGCCCGACTGGAAACGACACGGAAACCGACACAGCGTTGGTCATCTGTAAAAAGGTTAAAAAAAAAAAAAAAACATTTTGGAGCAAAATTAGAAAAAAAGACAAATCAAAAATGAAGGTGCTCTGTTAACACAGATCTAGAGAGAAACAACAAAAAAAAAACTTCAATTCACCCCACCCCTTTTATTTGTTTATTTTTTAACCCCCTTAGGGCCCTTTCACACTGCTACTCTTCAAAAATGCACTTTAACCACATGCCGCCCAGCCACTGTAGAAATACGGCGGCAGGGCGGCACAACCACATTTTAAATCGTGTGTTTGCATAACAGGTAGGGGGCGCGCGCGAGGCGCGCCTCCGCCCTACCTGTCCCGTCGATCACGGCTGTGGATGTCAGTCGCCGGGGTCACAGCCGGTGGTTACTGCCTGTGTCCCGCCAATTAGCGGCAATCACTGACAGAGAGCACAGCTGCAGTAGCTCCAACAAAATTTGCCATATTCTGTTTGTTCAACCAACTTTTCATGCATGGACCCCTTGGGGTTTAGGTTTTTTGACTTCTCAACCAATTTTACTCTAGTTTGATGGACTTTGGTATATCTTTTTGCACTTAGTCCTGTGAACAGTCTGGCATTGGATCTCTCATTTCATGTGTCTTCAGCAACTCCAAAACTAGATAATTGTCCATGTAATGTATTCCTTCAATGTATGCTGCATGACAGAGACCTTGTCTTATCTATTCCTTTGATTGCATGTGTACAACGTAGGTGTATGTATATGTCGGCATTGATTATTGTTCCTTTTATGCTGATTTCAGTGCTAATAACTCTTATGAACTAACAAAAATGACAGTTGTCTTCTGATATGCAACCATAACATCTGTTACTGTTTACATCCACTTTAACCGTTTCAATACCGTGCAATTTTACACCTTCCTGCCCAGGCCAGTTTTCAGGTTTCAGCGCTCTCACACTTTGAATGACAATTGCGCGGTCATACAACACTGTACCCAAACTAAAATTTTATCATTTTCTTCACACAACTAGAGCTTTCTTTTGGTGGTATTTAATCACCTCTGGGGTTTTTATTTTTTGCTAAATTAACAAAAAAAAAAACCAAAAATTTTGAAAAAAAAACACATTTTTCTTTGTTTCTGTTATAAAAGTTTACAAATAAATAATTGTTCTTCATAAATTTAGGCCGAGATGTATTCTGCTACATGTCTTTGGTGAAAATAACCCAAATTAGGATGTATTATTTAGTTTGTAGGAAAGTTATAGAGTTCACAAACTATGGTATAGATCTGAATATTGATCAATCCTGAAGTACTGACAGCCAATCTAATTTCTTGAGGTCCAAGAATGTCAGAACAGTACAGATATCCCCCAAATGACCCCTTTTTGCAGAGTAGACAGTCCAACGTACTTCATAATAGGCATGGCGAGTTTTTTGAAGTTGTATTTTTTTTTGTCATAATTTTTTCGGAAAATGAAAAAATTAAAAAATTATTTTCACTATTTTTTTTTTTTTACATACTGTCACCAGTGCAGTACAGCGTCATCATATAACTGGCATGGCGGTTAACAGGGACACTGACTGGTGACAGTATGAAAAAAAAATATATATATATATTTTTTTATTTTTTTTTTTA